GTTTTCATCAAGAAGGTTGGTGGTGATTGGACGTCTAACATAGTGAATGACAGTGAAAATGAGGTAGGATCAGAGTCTAAAATAGGGAAAGAACAAGTAAAAAATTACTTAGACAAGTTAGATGTCTTCAAATCACCAGGGCCTGATGAAATGCTAACATCAGGCGTAATCCTTATTATTTGTATTAAGATAATCATAGGTAGCACAATCAAGGATCAGGGTCATTTTGTGTTAGGTGCTGTACTGACAAGAAAGAAGACAGTCCTTGCTCCAGAGACCATACAGTCTAGGTGCGTGTCAGGATATTTAGCTGGATAAAACAGACTGTGAGGGAGGCTGAAATGACAAAATGAAGAGTGTCAGAAAGAAAAACAAAATTGGCTTGTTTCTTGCCTAAACAATGCCAGCTGGGTAGCAATTTTTAGGTGTAATCCTTGAATGGGTTTCCTTTTTCAAGATGATTCCTCAGTTGAGTTTCGTGGATGGTTCTGAACTAACCAAAAGGCCAGGAGAGGGACCAAAAGGACTGACATGGAGCAGCCATTTTGAGAGATTTTGATGAGTTTCTAGGGCTGATTGGGAGGATGAGGGCCATGTTACCAGAAAAGCAGTGCTGTGTATATAAAATGGGATACATACGGTTCATATTCATGTTATACATTAATGTAAACTTTAATTTTAGAAATATTTTCAATCTGGCCACCTGATATCAGGCGTTTCCCCATTTACTAAAATAAATAGGGAAGGCATGCAGGATCTGGCCCAATATCCACAAAGCAGCATGAAAAACAGTGTATGTTGTTAAGGCCTCTCATATCAAAGAGTGCATGTCTATGCAATTCTCTCTACGAGTCATAAACTCCAACTTAAAAGAATTCTCTGCTGCATAAACAGGAAATGCAATTTGCCATTCATTAATATTCTGCCTTTTTTCCCTCCAAACTTGATCAGAGACTAATTACATGCAAAGTTTGACTGTCTAGGATTTGTTTGGTTATTTGTATGAAGAAAAGTGGCGACATTTTTTTTTTGTCGGAGAAGTGTATTTTTTCACTCATCTAGAATCCAACATAAGGAATGTTTCTCAAACTGTACAGAGAGAGAGAGAGAAAGAGAGAGAGAGAACCTTTGTCCAGACACCATGGATGGAAATTTCATTCCCAAAGGACAGTTTTTCAGAAAGCTACAAGCATATGAAATTAGGGGTAATCCAGGAAACTCTTGCAACATTAACTATAGTGTTTGCTGCCAAGTGAATGTTATAACGCATCCATACTGAGCTTCGTTTGACATCTACTAGCTCATCTGTTCAAGAGAAATGAAACTTCCATTATTTGATTACATTCGTGTTTCTCGTTATTGGCTGCCCCTCTCTATTCAGCACCATCTACCTCCTTGAAATTCTTCCTTAGGTACCTTAAGCTCATATACTGTACCAGTAATACATTGGGGTAGAAGGGGGAATCAATGCTGTATCCTTTTGTGTCCAAGCCGTAATTCTGAAGCCTAAGGCTATGTCTACACTGCACGCCGATGGTGGCAGTGTGTCGGCTATACATAACTACACACTGCTGTGAAAAGTAAGTTGCATCCACATTGTGGTGTGTAGCTCCATCCACCAGTGAAAGGGACCTGCTGGAACCTTTCCCCACTGCATTCCCACTGCCAGAGCCTTTCCCTGCTGCTGGAGCCTTTCACTATGGTGGTTGGGAAAGGCTCAGACAGCAGGGAGACAGTGGGACACTGCATTGCTAAAAAATAGGAGTATAGATGGAGGAGGTACTGTTTGGATTTGTAGAGAACCCTTCAGGGTACATACCCACAAGGTTCAGGCATGACTTTACTCTACTCATCTTATTCTCATGCCATTCAATGAGCTTTCATTTTGTTCTGTCAACATTTGTACTATACATATACATTTGTGTGTGTATGCTCACACATACTTTGTACTTACATAGCATCTTCAATCTGAAGAGCTCAATGTTCTTAACAAACATTAATGAGAATACTTGTGAAATAAGGACGTATTTTTATTCCCATTTTACAAATAGGGATATTGAGACACATAATAATAAACTGACTCGTCCATGGTCACTCAGTAAGCTTTCTGAATCTAAATCTCCTGGCTCCCCTACTAACACATGCCTCTATTCATATATAGGATCCAGTATGGAAACACTCACTGCTGGGTGTGGTGCTTACTAAACATGAGTAGTTCAACTGATGGTACTAAGCACTTTGGTGGGTAGTTAGTACAATAGTAAATAAAAAAGCTGGTTAGAAAATAGTTTTATTCCTTGGCAATTTTTTTGATTTTGTTAAAAAAAATGTTTAATGTTTTTTTGCAACCAAAAACTGAAAAAAATTGTGGTGAAAACAGCCAAACCCCAGAACATTTTCAAGTGAAAATAGTCAAAAAACAAAAAAAGTTCAGTTTTCATCCAAAAATACCCAAAGAGCTTTTTGGCTTTTCAATGAAAGATCAAAATTTTTTGAGGAAGGCAGACACTTACAACAAACAAACAACAATAATATTAATAATAATTTGGTCAAAAACAATTTTCCTTTGCAAAAAATTTAGACCACCCCTAAATATGTTTGTCAGATAAGATTGCATAGGCAATAAATACTGGACCAATTCACAGTATAGAACTACAAAGGAAAACGAGTTTTATTTGTGGCCTTTATTTTCCTCATTTATGATAAGAACATAAGAACGGCCATACTGGGTCAGACCAATGGTCCATCTAGCCTAGTATCCTGTCTTGTGACAGTAGCTAATGTCAGGTGCTTTAGAGGGAATGAACAGAACAGGTATTCATCAAGTGATCCATCCCCTCTTGCCCGTTCCCGGCTTCTGGCAAACAGAGGCTAGGGTCACTTCAGAGCATGGTTTTGCATCCCTGCCCATCCTAGCTAATAGCCATTGATGGATCTATCCTCCATGAAATTATCTAGTTATTTTTGGAACTCTGTTATAGTGTTGGCCTTCACAACATCCTCTGGGAAAGAAATCCACAGGTTGACTGTGTGTTCTGTGAAGAAATAATTCCTTTTATTTGTTTTAAACCTGCTGCCTATGTGCAAGTACATTATATCCACTGGATCACCCTTGTCCACATGCTTGTTGACCCCCCTCAAAGAATTCTAATAGATTAGTAAGGCATGATTTGTAAAGAAGCCCAGAATGTTTTCTTCTTGCTACCGTTTTTAACATTGAAAAAAATCAAGTCTTGCCTAATTTACAGTTTTGCTTATAATCTTTGGACTACAAGTGGGATTATAACATCACAAATAACAAGAGACTGAAATCTGACCACCACAAGGGAGAAGGAATTTTTAAACTCTTGTTTTTACTGATTTTGCCCATTTTGCCACTTAAATCCCTTCACTGGCTTCCTCTTCTGTATTCCATCACATGCAAGCTCTTGCCATTGCCTTCAAAGCCATTCATGACTGTCTTTCCCTTCTTATCTGATTGTATTTCACCATTGCACGCATTGTAGCTGTAGCTTTGTCAGTCCCAGGATATTTGACAGACAAGGTGAGTGAGGTAATATTTACACTCTTGAATGAACTCACACAGGAAAATGATAAAAGACAAAAACACCCCACTACTGTGGGTGACCACTCTTCACAATGTGATCACTCTAGATCTGACCTATCAGTACTCATCCTCAAAGGAAACCTGCACAACAATTTCAAAAGATGAGCCTGGGAGTTTAAATTCATTACTCTGCTAGACTCTAAAAATCATGAATTGTACAGAAACACTGGATTTATGGCTTATTACCACAATCTGTAACCCACTATCCCTCTCTTTTTGTCCTATGACTGCAGACGTGTTAACAAGCCACTCTAAATTAATGGTCCCTTACAATATGTGCTAATTACTTACGCTAAACAATCTGTTCCACCTTGCATTTTGCTTTGACTCTGGGGGTACCTTTCCCAGACCTGAAGAAGAGCTATGTGTGGCTCAAAAGCTTTTCTCTCACCAGCAGAAGTTGCCCCAATAGAAGATATTACCTCACACACGTCTCTCTGTATTTCCCTTTGCCACTCTCCAACCTCGTCTGCTCTGCTAATGACCCCAGCCTCAATGCACTATTTCTCCCATGCCAACGCCATGAGCTTTCTCCCATGCCAACGCCTCCACAGGCAACTTGAAACACCCTCAAACTTTGGCAGGATCAAAATCCATAACCTGGACCCAGTTCCAAATGTCATAGCAAGCACTAGGTCTATGCATCAAACCAGTACTCTGAATGTAAACATCACTACACTGAGGTCTTATATCCAGATCTGAATTTTGAGGCTAAAGGTCTTGTCTAAAGTTATTTAGAGAAAAAAGGATTGTGAATCATACAGCAGTTGCTATGTAATCAAACTGTATCTTATCACTATTTAATACCTGATCCTGCACAATACTGCATGCTCTCATCTCACTTCAAAACCAATGGATTCGATGGGAGTTAGGGTGCCTCTGCCCCTTGCAAGACTGTGCCCTTATGTAGGCATTAATAATAGATAATAATAGTTACTTAATATTTTTTTATTAAGAAGTCAGAAAAATCTACTTTTTTGCTTAAAGCTCTAACTTTGCTATGTGGCATCTTGAAAATATATTAAAATGCTTTAAAATAAAACATTTAAACTATTTTTCTTACATCCATTTTAAAATCAGGGTTTTAAGATATTACACTTATTGCTGAAAAACTACACTTAACAGAAGGCACATCAGAGAAATTATCATTCTGAATGAATATATCACAATTTTTCAGAATACATCTCAGGAACAGAATCACATAGATGGTGTAATAAATCTAGAGACACCACAGGACTTTTATTAGTTGCACAGCTTCTAGAGAATATGAAAAAAAATAATACATGATTTAACTGTTGATTGTAAACATGCACAGTATTTAATGAAAACTTTCATTTCTTTGATATAAATTCAATTTAATTTTTTTTAAATAGAGAGAGACTATATCAGATACCTTCATCTCAATTTGTTTGGTGTCTAGATTCTGAAAAAGAAGCTTTACTCTTGTTTTTCCATCGTCTGAAGACCCCTTGAGCTGAGAGAATTTAAACCTCCAGAGCACATTCTGCAAAAAAAAAAAAAAAAAAAAAAAAAAAAAAAAAT